TTCTCTTTTACTACTACAAGAAATTTGACTATCCTCATGTAATAATAGATTGATACAATACTTGTAAATACACCTGTTATAACTAAAAAGTAAAAACCAGATTGCCATGCAGACCAAAATAGAAAAATTTTGCCAAAAAAACCTGTTAACGGCGGAATACCTGCTAATGAAAGCAACCTAAAAAGAAGAACAATTATGAGATTATCATTCATATTTCTTTATTTTTATCTATATATTTATATAGTATGTATTCAAAGATTTTTAGTGATTAGGCAAGTCGAGTTTCTCATTAGGTAGAAATTTATGTTACAAATAGGACTAAGTACAAGCATAGTTATAATAATACTTTTACAATGCCCAGGCTCTTTAGGTTTGTTCAATAACTACAATTTAGCACATCTTTATTTGAATTCCCAAAGTAAATCGAATTTTTTGATACTTCAGTAAAAGATCATGAAAATAAGTGTATTAGATTAAGTGTATTAGTATTTATAATACTCTTAAATTCTATTATAAAAAAAAATAATAAACAATAAATGATGTAGATAATTATAATCATATTYTGATTATTGTAATTATATTAATATTAGAATGATTATATTATAAAATTATTCTAGAGAATGATTCATTTGGTGCAATAAAAGTTCTATTCAACTTTTTAATGCGTCGCAAAAAAAAATAGCTTTAAAACATTTTCAAAATATGGAAGATGTTTTTTGGTTAGATATAATCACAAAAGAAATTCAAACCAATTATTTCCATGTTTTAATTAACAATTATTTGAAAGAAATATATAGTTTTAATAGAAAAAATATTCAATTGCGTGTAAACAGGCAAAATATTAGTCCAATTAGAGTAATAACTAAAGGTAAGATTAGTACTATTTCATTGCAAAAAAGAATCGAATTTACTAAGCTACTGAAAAATTTGCAATTAAGTAATACAAATCGTTTTTTAGAATCATGGTTATTTCACTACACAAAATACAATAATCATTCCGACAAGAAAATAGAACAAGRAACMAATTGTTAAAAATAATGAGTTATTACCATTATTAATAGCATCTAACCATCCAGGCAACCAAAGATTTGCACCTGCATTTAAAGCAGGGCTTTGATTAGAAGAAAGTAAAACATCAAATCCATAAAGTGTTTTTCCATGTGTAGCCTGTATCCATTCCAATATAAATAAGTAAACTCATCCAAGCTGCAGGCACATGTACATAGATGATACGATAATTTTCACCTTGTTGAAAATCAGATGGTACTACCCAAATTGCTAAGTAAATAGCCATTACTGTCAAGAATAAGCAAATGGAAATTATAAATGATGTATCCTGGGAAAACTCCTTTTCTTATATAGATTCTGAATTAAACAAATATAAGTGGATTATTCAATATTCTTTGTTCAAATATAGAGTAAGTGTAGTTTTTTTACTGTTTCTATCTCCATTTGAA